GGGCGGGGCGGGGCGGGGCCGGCGCTCTGACAGCACTGCTGTGCGCCGGAAGAGGCGCGGGCCACAGCACAGGGGCTCGGCGGCTGGACCGCGGGGCCGTCCTCACGATGCCGGTCACCGGGAAGATCTTCCGCCGCCGGCGGGCCGACTCGGAGTCGGAAGAAGATGAGCAGGATTCAGAGGAGGTTCGGTGCGTTTGGGGAGGGGCTGTCGTGGGCCGTGCCTGGCCGGGGATGCCTTAGCCGTGAGCTGGGGTTGTCGCTTTGAGGCTCCCGGGATGATGCCTCCGCCCCCCCCCCCGGCCTCACTGGGGCCCGGTGTCCCGGGACGCGCACGGATCTGACTGCCGGAAATGCCAGGCGCTGCGGACGCGGTGCTGGCAGCTGTGCACCTGCGAAACTGTAGGTTGATTCTGGGCTCTGCGGAGGAGCTCTCAACCTGCGTGCATTGCCCTCGCCCCCCTTTTCAGGTTGAAGCTGGAGGAGACCCGAGAAGTGCAGAACTTGAGGAAGAGGCCCAATGGGGTGAGGTGGGTACCGCAGCCGGAGAATAAGGATGGGGGCGAGGACAGAACTACTCCCCAACTTGGGCCTCGGCCATGAATCTCTCTTTAGACACATCCCTTCCTCTTGATACACTATCGCCCAAAGAGGGTTCTTGGCAAACTTTTAACCACGACATACTTTGAGCCTGGTGATCTTGGAGGGTGCTCTGGACATTCAGAAACATCACCCGAGTTTTTATTGTATGGGATTCATTGTAAAATACAGGTCGACTGGAATGAGTTGGAAAATTCAGAAGAGTACAATCGAAAAGAAAAATAGCACCCATGTTTCTTTTTCATCCAGAGGCAATAAATGCTAACATTTAATGTTCGTTCCAGCATCTCTTCTCTTTTTCAGAGATTATGAGCATTGTTTTTGGTTGGGTTTTTGTTGGTTGTAGGGCTTGAACTCGGCCTGGGCACTTTCTCTGCACTCTTCAGCTCAAAATCTAGTGCTCTACTACTTGAGCCACAGAACCACTTCAGGTTTTCTAGTGGTTAATTGGAGATGAGTCTCACACACTTTCCTGCCCGGGCTAGTTTTAAACCAGGATTCTCAGATCTCAGCTTCCTGAGTAGCTAGGATTACAGGCATAAGCCACTGGCTCCCGGCTGAGAATTTTTTTTTTTTTGGTAAGTTGTGGGGCTTGAACTCTGGGCTTGGGCGCTGTCTCTGTGCTCTTCAGCTCAAGGCCAGTGGTCTACCACTTGAGCCACAGCAGCACTTCAGTTTTTTTTTTTCTAGTGGTTTATTGGAGATAAGAGTCTCATGGACTTTCCTGTCCAAGCTGGCTTTGAACCTCAATCCTCAGATCTCAGCCTCCTGAGTAGCTAGGATTATAGGTGTGAGCCATGAGTGCCTGGCTCCAGCTGAGCAATTTTATAAGCACTTTTATTCTCTGCTTTTTTTTTTTCAAGTCATTATGAGTCTCTCAGATTTGTCTTCCCAAAATGGCTTGGAACCTTCATCCTCAGACTTTAGCCTCCTGAGTAGTTAGGATTATAGGCATAGTCACCAGCACCCAGCTTATTTTATTCTTGTGGCTTTTGCAGCTGGCTTTTCTGCCTATCTCAAATCTAGCCCTTGAATTAAAATTGCAACCTTCAAACTTCCTGTGTTCTTTTTCAACTTTAAATTTTGTCATTTCTTTTTGTTTTGTTTTTCTCAGTGCTGCTGCCCTGCTGGTGGGAGAGAAGGTACAAGAAGAGACTACTCTGGTGGTGAGTATGGGACCCTCCTGGTACCTACTATTGTGTGGGCAATTGTGCTTTCTTTAGAAATAATAGTAATTCTACTGCCTAAGCTGTGTGTCTGCTTTCTGCAGGACGATCCCTTCCAGATGAAGACCGGTGGCATGGTGGACATGAAGAAACTGAAGGAAAGGGGCAAAGATAAGTAAGTACCTGGTAGGCATAGATACAGGCTCCCCAGAACCCTCAGAGCTGGGCAGGCAAGTCTACCTCTGATGCAGTGTCCACAAGTCGTGGTTGTGCTTTGCAGTGTGTTGTTAAAACAACAGGTAGGGACTGGGAAGGTGGCTCAGTGGTAGAGTGCTTGTCTAGCATGCATGAAGCCTGGGTTCATTTCCTTGGTACCACATACACAGAAAAAGCCAGAAGTGGAGCTGTGGCTCAAGTGGCATAGTGCTAGCCTTGAGCACAGGGACAGTGCCCAGGCCCTGAGTCTAAGTCCCAGGACTGGCCAAAAAACAAAAACAAAAAACAAGTATTATAACTAGATAGAAAACATGTTGACTTTATTAAAGAAAATTGGTACAGGAGTAATAGGGATATGTGTACGTTCCTATTTTCTTTTTTCTTTTTTTTTTTTTTGGGTCTGGTCATGGGGCCTGAACTCTGGGCCTGGGCGCTGTCCCTCAGCTCTTCAGCTCAAGGCTAGCGCTCTACCACTTGAGCCACAGCACCATT